GGGGGTTGTGCATTTTCCACACTGCTCGATATTTTTTTTCGTCCTTCAGACAAGCAGGATATTTTTTTATTACCTCTGTGCCCTTGCACGATATTTTTTTTCTCTCAACTTTCAAAATCAATATAATCATTATATGTATTAAACATGCATATTTTAATATGCATACTTCAAAACTGTACAATGACCAATGTAATATTTGATAGTTCTTAGACTTTCAGCAAATTGAGATGAAAGCATAGCAGGATCTGTCAAATCTTTTTATTTTTGTTATAAAATATTAGAAAACGAAAATCTGGAAATGCCAATTTAGCATTTCCAGTTACAATTTCGCATTTAAAGTTTTGGAAATTTTGCACCTTCATATTTTAAAAGCGCATGAAAGGCATTGTTTGAACATGGTAATATAGCTATATACAATGAAATGTTTTACCACAAAGGACCCGACATTTATACATTAATCTCGAATCAGGACTTGGGGTGGAAAGAAAAATTTAAAATTGGCTTCTGAACTTTAATAGTTGCTTTATGTGCACTTTAATATAGGTTACAAGGATGAGTTGGATTTCCTATCTAAGAATATAAGACCTCGACTTATTGAGATCGACACTTCCATCAAAGAAAAGGCACAACAGGCTCGTGAGTGCATGGATGCAGCCAGAGAGAAGCATGGGTATTCAATTGCGTCCAAAGTGCAAAGCGGAAAAGAAAAAGTGGAAAATCAAGTATATCCGCACGTGCAAGTCAAGCCAAGGATGGTGATTATGAAACAACTACACTGATTAATGAAATCAGTGATTCAGATTCAGAATCAATGTCAGAGGAGCAAGATTGAAAAACTGTTTGATATATACATTTGTTAATTGTTTTGTTTGTATTCTTGATTCCTTTATTAATATACTAGAAAATACATGCATGCAGAAACCCTCGCCTTGCTGACAAAACCGTTGTATTTTCCGAACATGAAGTATCTAAAGTAGTTGTCATGGTAACACGATAACTTTTTAAGAATATTCTTACAAATGAAAATCGCCTAAAAATATCACTTTTAATTACAAAATTATCAATTTCTCAACATATATATGTTAGGTATGTAATTATACGTAATACAAGCTTCAATTTAAGGTAAAGTTCAACCACAAATAATTCACAAAACGTTTTAAAGTGTTCTTTATATTAAAAACTAAACTGCCTTTAACTATTAAATGGCTTTATCGATAAACTTTGAGTTTGCAATAAAATGATTTCAAATTCTCGTTTGCAAATAACTTTGCTTTATTTTTTATTTAAAAAATTCAATATAATAAAAAAGGGAATCAATATTAAAGATACACTGAAATTATATGCTGTCTTGTTTAGTTGCCTGTTTCATATAAAAAGGTACGCAAAGGCCGTCGGGTTTTAAAGCCATTATAAAATCAATATTTAAAACAAACTTACCTTCGTTAACGTCGGCTCCCTTCTTTTAGCTGATTCTTTCGCCCTTTCTTTCTTGAAATTTACAAAATCTTGCAGAAATACGAGCAAAAATGAACAATATTTGCAAGAAATTTATCAATCATCAACTCATCAAATCAAGATATGTTTGCTATTTCGCTGTCGTCATGCAGTCGTTATAATGCAAACTTTAAATTGGACCAATCAGTGTCCGTTATTCATGACAGTCCGCCATATTTTTGAGATCAGTGAGGATGACCACCCATCGTTGGTGACCGACGCCCGCGCTCATTGATGAACTTTAGACTTCGCTAATGCTTTCGTTTCCCCGGGTGTAAATAGCCGGGGGGGGATTAGTACCCTCGCACGGCGCTTCGCGCCGCCGGCTCGGGGATAAACAACTATATACATGTACATATATTTAGATAACATCTACTATTGTTGTTGCTATTTTAAAGTAGTTGTTGGTATATAAAATGAAAAATTATGTCTATTGATAATAACAGAGTATATATATTTAATATAAAAATAATATATTCGAGCTATTCTGATATTCCCACAAAAACGTTTTAATTCTAGTAGCCAAATTTTAAAATGTTCAAAATTTTATACCCCATTCTGCTCGCACACTGTACGCTTTATTTCTTTGCACATGATGGGGGATCCATGCATGAGTTCCTGAAAATTGTGCATGTGTCATGTGACAATATACCACTAGAGATTTGAGGAAATTTTAAAAATATTAAAAGCCAAAAAGCCAGCATCTTCTCTCTGACGCCCGCACTCTAGGTTTCAGCGGTAATCTTTGCCAAAGCCAGGTTTGCAACCACGTCTAGCGCATTTCACATATTTTTATATGACTCTTCTATTATTTAAAGTCTTTTATTAAAGTCTTTCAAATTGTTATAGAAATAATATTTAATTAAAAGGTTATATATTATGGATTCAGGTTAATTTCTTCAAAAGCCTCTGCGGAGGAGAGACTTCTGACAATCACGAGGGTGGAAACTTGGATGGTGTGCTCGATATTTTTTTCGTACGCATTTGTCCTGCTCGATATTTTTTCGTAACAATAAGTGCTTGCTCGATATTTTTTTGGGATTTACACAACCCCCCATCAAATATCTAATGGTCCGGCCCTTAAAATTCCCTAAATGCCAAACATATACAGTGAGTATTCCAATTTGTAACATACACGCACAGACGAGTCTTTGACTTATCTTTGAGTAGGCTATTCAGCTATTATCGGATTATTTAACTGTAGAGTATAGGTTTGATAGATCAAGTTTCAACAGATTCTGGTTTTTCGTATCTCTGAGGATGTTTTCAGGAGTCCAAGTTACGGCAAGTAGCATTGTTTACAAGCAACATAGTTCACGATATTTCAGAAATCAAAAGATCTCTATATTTCATTACACATCTCAGTATTAAATAAATCCTTTAGGATAGACATCAATAGCTAAACAACAGCCACATCGGTCGGTACCGGTGTAGAAATATGTTTTCTTGTAACATTTTCGACGTGTTGATTTCTTTCACGAGCTGTATCGGCATAATTGCGGTGCCCAAACTTTGGCACAGCATTATATTCTGCCTGTGGGTTTGTTTGTCCATTTGTTTGTTAGTTTTTCGCATCAATACGTTTCCTTAATCGCCTACCAAAAATTCCTTGCACGTGCTCGGAATTTATTAATTATTATTAATCGTGTACTCTCATGATGATCGACTGTTTGCTCAGCTTTATCTCTGGTTTTATGCGTCAAACAAGGACAAAAATACAACTGTTCGAATCAGCGTGAAAAGTTGTGTTTACGGTTGGAAAATTGATTTCAAAATTGACTTCTATTCTAGCGATTTCTCGCCTTTGAAAGACAAAAGCCGCTCAAAATAATCCTTCACGTTTTCCGAATTCCTTTTTTCGAGGAAAGTTTTCTTTCGAATTAATCTCGAACTCTCACGATTGACTTTTTGCTGCGTCTTATCTCTGGTTTTATGCGCCCAATAAGGACAAAAATACCACCGTTCGATTCAGTGTAAGAAATTATACTCACAGATGTCAAATGTATTACTAAACTACAGTATTCTAGCGATTTATGGCCTTTGAAAAACAAGCGAAATTGTATTGTTCACAAATCGCTCAAAATTATTAAACAAATTAATAATGCAATACATTTGACCTTAATAACTTTCGCATTGTTGGTTTTCTATGAGGCGCCGAAACGGACAAAACTGCTATATGCACAAATATCCATGCTCTTTTGTAAATAGCATACAAATGCATGCTTTGTTAAAATAAAAGCATTCAAAATTCCAAAAATACATCCTGAAATCTAAAAATTCATTCGAAGTACACTAAAAATTAAACAGTTCTTATCAGTTCGCCAAATTATATGCATATGCCTGCTAATCAATATTCGCAAAAATACATGTCAATTGAAATATACATGCTAATTAACATCCATAAATATAAATTAACCCGCAAAACACCGTACCTGATAAATTTCCGTTAAACGTGGCGTCTCATTGAAGCAGAAGTGACAGTTCTCACGTTTCTTGGATGTATTAAAGTCAGTTCTTGCTCAAACACAGAGTCTTTTTGAAGAAGGACCGTTATCCGATAACCGTGTAGCTTCTTTACTGTGCTCTTGAAAACTTGTCAATAAAAATGGATGAAATTTGCGAGACGTTGGTCGTATTCCTGAATAGCTTTATAAATCCTACAGATGACCCTTTGTGAGAGCAATTATATCATCTATTATGCGTTTTTCATGGAATAAAAAAATATATAGAACAAGAAACTAACAAGCTTTATGAGGACGAAGAAAATGCACAGATGCGTACTTCGAGTGTTGTAGGCACCAATAATGGAAGCCGTCCTAGGTATGAAATTGATGAAGAACAGGTAATGTTCTAAAACTTTCACCTTCGTTCATTATAAACATTTATTTTGTAAACTAAATTCAAGAATTCCGATTCTGAAGGTTAATATTTTATTTAATTTGCTACGTTTCGAGCAGTTTGACTGCTCGTCGTCAGGACAACTACAACTACTCGCGCAAATTTTTGGTATTTGTGACCGTACTCTACGAAGGAAACGAGAGGAGTTTACTGCAAGAACGGAAAGCTTTAGTGATATATCTGAGGCTGACCTTTGTGAAGTGATTGAGAGTATTCGTTTTCTGACCCCCAACATTGGACAATCTCACTTACTTGGGGCTCGTAGATGCAGAGGATTTACCATTCAAAGATAGAGGGTACGACATTGCCTAAGAAAATTAGACCCAGTGGGTACAGCATTGCGTGGTCATGCAGCTATCTACAGAAGAAAATTCAATGTACCATACCCAAATTTTTTTTTGCACCTGGATGGTAATCATAAACTCATTAACTGGAGAATGGTTGTGCATGCTTGCATTGATGGCTTTAGCAGAATGGTATATTTATGTGTCAAGCCAAAACAACAATCTAGCTTCTACTGTTTTTAATATATTTCTTGACGGTGTTTCCAAGTATGGTTTGCCAAAAAAGATAAGAACTGACCATGGGTTAGAAAATGTCCACGTTGCTAGGTATATGCTTCAGCAAAGAGATACAGATTGTGGCAGTGTACTTACTGGAAGATCAGTGCATAATGTAAGAGTGGAGCGACTCCATAGGGATGTGCATTCTGCTGTTCTCTGCCATTATGCTTTACTTTTCACTTTTATGGAAGAAGAAGGTTTACTCAATGTTGATAGTGAAGAGCACTTGCTAGCTCTTCAGGAAGTATTTATCCCCCCCCCCGTCGCCAAAAAAATTTCGGTCAGTGTACCATTTTAGGGGTCAAAAAAATTTTCCGGACAGAAAATATTTCTTCTTAAATTTAAAAAAAATTTCCGGACAAACCAATATATTATATTTTTCTCGGAAACTAAAACATTGTTAGGGAAAAAACATAGATTGAAGTTTTCAAAAGATTGGTTTGGACAAAAAATGCAAATTTAATGAAAATTTTTCAGGCACAAAAAGGGCACTTTGCTCCTGTAAAAAGGGCACTTGCCAAAACTTGGGGGGGGCCATGGCCACCCTGCCCCCCCCCCCCCGATTCCTTCGCCCCTGGCTGGGCATCAGAGCCCAGAGCAGATGTTTATTACTGGTTCGTTAAATTCTGCCAATTCCATTTATGGTAATGAAGATTCACCTGCTGAGTCTGATGAGACAGTAGGGGCTGGACTTGCAGAAGATGACATACTGGATCCTGATTTCATTGTACAAGAAGAGCATTATGCAGTATTTGTTCCACAAACCGAACTTGAAATTCTCAGCAATCTAAGCAGTGAACAGTTTTTGTGGTTAGCCTGCGCATGCGCAGCTAACCACTATGTTATAAACCGTAAAAAAGTTTAGTGTGACAGTTTTTAGTCTGCGCATGTGCGAAATATTGTAGTTAATTAAACGCATACGAAAGAGCCGTTGGTTTATGGAATTTTGTAGTTAATTTAAAGGCATGCGAAAGAGTCGTTTGGTTTATGAAATTTTGTAGGTAAAGGCTCTGCATGGCATACTCTTTCGCTTGCGCAAAATTAAAGCAGATCGAAATGGACATATCATATCGTCGGTTTACTTTGGAGGTTCATATATCTTTGGTTCAGTGCATGCTATGTGGATGAAAATACCACCGTTCAATTCAGTGGAACAATTGCTATGGATGGTTTTAGTAAAATGTCAACATGAACATTATAGCGATTTACGATCTTTAGAAGTTAAGCGATACCATATTTCACACAATTTTCCCGAACAATGTAAACAATGTCAATGTATAATTTACCAACTAAGGCATAAGTGCATAACATTTCGCTGAACAGAACTTTGGTCCCTTTCAACATATCTTTTATGTAATAGTCTTGTTCGAATCAGAATCCAAAACACTATTCAGAGTGTTATTTTCAAGCTTGTATCTACAGACTTGCATCTTTAATTTCGGTATTTCAAAATATCTAAATTTTTAGCGAGAGCTTCGACCGGAAATACAAACTGACTGTCGAAACAATGCTATCCTAGCACTCGGGAAACGTCGGAAACTGTCGGTCGGAAACCGATTCGAGTCACATTACCCCTGGTGCGTGGCCGAAGTTATATATTCAACGAAAGGTACGATCTCGCTTGCCTTTCAGAGCCAATAAATCGCTAGAATGTTGATAATGACTAAAGCTATTGCCGAGGAACTATTTGATTTTTTCACTGAATCAAATGGTGGTATTATTGTGTTCATAGCATGCACTAAACTCAAGATATGAACATCTAAAGGTCCAGACACACCGGATACGATTTGACAACGCGACGCGATTTTTCGATTTTCACTGATCGATAACTTTAATCCTAATTTAAATTTTCCAAGTATTTAGAAGCGTTATAACATTTTGGGTTGTTTGGTCTACATGTCTTTTAAGATTTGCTCTCATTGGCTGTGGAATTAACTTTCAAAAACTAAAAAATCGCGTCGCGTTGTCGAATCGCGCCCGATGTGTCTGGACCTTAAAGGTTGGCAGCTTTTAGCGACCTACGATGCTTGGGACTGAGCGAGAAAGAGTTTTAAAAATTTAATTTAGCCGTTTACAACGAAATAGTAGAGATAATTTAATATTGTCTGGTTTGTTTTTAAAAAAGTTGCTGTATTATGGCTATGTTATACGGTATTTGGCTTCATACGACAAAGAATGAAGAATAAAAATTTTATGGTTCAATGGTTGAAAAATCAACCAAGATATTTCGTTCATTATATTGAACGAAATCAGCTATATGACGCTATAACAATTGCCAATCTTATAGGCTAACCACATGTACGCAATGCGTACCTATTTTAACTGATGATGGCAATTATGGGATTAATCATTTTATCACATGTTTACGAGCAATACAAGAAAACAATGAATAATTAATTGAAACGTTTTATTGAAACAATTTACATTTATCTTTAATTTATAAGAATATGACAAATGACTAACAATATGACTCTCCCTGATTGTTTTTGCAGTAGTAACAATAGAGGTCAAGAGGCGCACTGAAACTTAGTTTTGCCGAGTTAGACTTGTTAGTTCCAGCCAGAACCCAGCAGTTGCATCACATTTGTTAAAATATTTTGCACATATTTTGTGACAAGTTGTTAATTTCCGCTTTTTAAAACTTATAGTAAAAAGCCACCTTTGAATATGTGATTCCGTTGGTAGCCTAAAGGTTACAGTCAGAACTCTTTCCCACTTCTTTTGAGATCTAGTTATCTTATGACAAGATCTTGAAAAGATGGTTCCAGTGCACCTGTAGTAAATTGGTTGATTTAGATTGAGCGATGGTACTAGTGAGGCGGATATGTGTAAAATTATTGATCAGTAGTTCCCGTTGAGGTTAAAAGCGTCAAACTTTTACAATTGATGTAGTTTTATTTGCTTAATAGATATTTGAAGTGGGGCCATCGCTATTTTGCTGCTAACAACTGAAAACGGGTGATTAGTGATTATCTTCTATTGAATTATATTATAGCCAAAAAATGTGAACTTTTGTATTCAATTACAACAAATATGACTTGCATCATCAGAAAGCCTATAAAAAACTGCATATAAGACATTTAGACAGTTTTTTGATTTCTGAAATAGTTTTCGAATTATAAACTGTTAAAAACGCATTTTCAAACGTCGAATAATGAATTAGGGACCTTTAGCGAGATAATGCGCCTAATTTACAGCAATAACCATTTGAAGAATAAAAAAACTGTTTAATTTAAAAGTCTTTTATGTAGTTTTTTACAAGCTTTCTGATGATGCAAGTTATATTTGTCGCGAATATTGAATTCAAAATTTCACATTTTTTGTTGTAGTAGAATTTAATAGCAAATAATGCTAATAGCATCGTAACTCTCTAAAAAATCGGTTTCACGATGGCCCCACTTTTGCATGTTGTTCTACTCATAAAAAGAAGCTGCTGTGCACAATTTGGTGCTTTTAACCCTCTTCGGAAACATCCATGGACATATCCGCCACACTATACCGAAAATTTAGATTGTAAATTTGTGATGTCACCAGATTTTAATATATGGTATGGAGAGTTATATTGCTAATTTTAAAAGAGATACTTGATGCCATTTTAATCAATGAACAACTAACCAACTAATCAAACTACCATTAAAAATACAACACCTTGGTAAATGTAATACAGTTCTTACTGCATATATGTTAATTTAATATAAAGAATATAAAACGGAGGCTTCAAAAAGTCTACTCCAGCAGTCCAGTTAGACTATATCAAATTCCCAAAAGCCCTTCTCTCTCTGTAAACTACTAAACTTTTCAGATAATTCATTAAATGACTGGTATGTCGATGGCAATTCCAAACTAGGGGTACATGTGTGAGCAATGGGCCTACGTGCCAACCCATCTACACTAACAAAAGTGACTTCTAAGCTATCACAAATTATGATATCACTCCAAGTGGTATACTGCAAAAGGCTGAAAGCGCTCCATCTGTCAAACTCTTTACAAACCTTTTTAAATGATCAAAACTTTCCCTTTCAGCATCATTCCCTGGTTATGCTGACAATAACTTAAGAACCTTCTTAGGGCTTACATTTTTTTCCTCATACATGCAATTGTCTTAAATGGGTCAAATACAGTTAAACATTTAAGAGTGAATGTCAGTAAAAATCGAACATATGAGACATTTCGCGGCCACGACTAGAAAATCGATTTTGCTCAAATTTTGCCCAGATATACCTTATTATATCGGAAAATGCACCATATATTTTTTTAGCTCAAATGCTTTTTTAACTTTGAGAAAATGCCGTTTTAACACGACCACCCTAAATCGCCATTTTTTCTGGGAAAATATGCGCTGATTTTACAGATAAATTTCACGATGACAACCGTTTCTAATCGATCTAAAACCCTAAAAATCTTGTTTTCGGTTATTCAAAGGACGGTATACATGACTTACAGGAAATCTGAGTTACTTTTAGGAATAGATATAATCGTAGTTTTGGAGCACACTATCTTACTTCATTTACGATACCCTCTTAACAAAACCGATTTTCACCATGCGATAAAGCTCCAAATCGATCATGCTTCTACTAGTTGGCTCTTTAATAAGCAAGCTTTCAATTGACGTAAATACTTCTTTTGGCAAATGAATACGCGATAAACGACAGCGCGTTGAAATCGTCCGTTTTTGACGTCTTGCAAGTCAAACGCTGTTAATTTACATACCGTCGAAGTAAACAATTTAATCAAGTATTTTAAGTATTTTACCTTTTGAGAAGAAGATATATTCTTGAATGGAGACTTTTTGCCTTGCTTAGTTTAAAATTGGTCCAAAAATCCCGAGATATTTGTAAAATATCATCATATACAGGTATTTTGAAATATAATATTGTTGTCAGTTGCATGACAACTTCAGATCATTGTTCAATTATTGTCTACTTTTAATAGCGCAAACATACAAATCGATGAGCTGTTTAGGGATTTTATATTTGTTACTAAATTTCCCAAAATTAGAACTTCAATTGACAATTGTTTTGTTCCAGTTTGCATTAATCCATATAATGTGCCATTTAGTATTTACATATCGACTATCGAGTACAAATGTTTACGAATACATAAGTTAATTATTAAGCAGCTGTTAATAGCGTGCGTGTGAAATGAACATTTATCCATACAAGGATTTGTTATTTTATTATATATTCTACCACCTCAAACTCAAATTATAGGCATATAGCAAATACTGTAGTTTAGAATAATGTGTGTTTACTTTGATGCACAGTTAAAATAATCAGTAAAATTACTTTATTTTGATACACTAATGTCTATTGATCTTATTATATTTCACAAGTACTAGTACCCAAAAATACAGCATTGAGATATGTTGGCCCAGTGCGCGACACCACAAATTATTATTGTCTCCCCACACGTCGCGTTTAAATAAAATGAAAGCTTGTTGCTCGTTTAACGCCGGATTAACCACGTGTCAAATACGGCAAATGCCGCGGGCCTCGCGCTTTACTGTGCTACGCCCATTTTTACGAGAACACGGCCATTTTCTATTGCGACACACCCATTTTAGGTGCCTCGCGAATTTAGGGACCTCGCGCATTTACGGCCCCTAGGCTTGGCAGTTCGCCCTAGCACGGCCCCGGGAAAATATGCAATACTCGTGTTCATATAATCTCTAGTTGCGTTGAGCTGTTATATTATGATCCTGTTTATACCCACCAACTGCGCCAGGCAGGCCATTATCTCGTTTATAATTGATGCAAATAAATTGAAATATTGAAAAAAATTGTTTAACACTTTTGTGTGTCTTTAAATTCAATGGTTTTCATAAAAAGAAGAAAGGGGGAGGTTTGGGGGCCTCGCGCTAAAATTTGCCACGGGCCTCGCGCGACGTTAATCCGGCCCTGGTCACTTGTCGGTAGTTCTTGCGGTTTTAATGCCAATTGACAAAGATCAAAAGAGAGCACTGATGACTCCCCCCGTCGGAGAAATACTGGCGCAGCCCAAACCAGCTCAGTGAATGTGGGTTTATTATGGGGCCCCAGGGCCAATTATACCCTTGGGGCCCCAGTGAACCACAATTACCCCCCTCCGTCGACAAACTTTTTATCGCCTTGCAAATTTGTATTTGCCTGTCTTCCTTGAGCTGGGGTCGCGGAGAAAATTGCTCCCTTTTCCGCCTCCCTGCATGGGCGGCCCTGGCGCCGCCCTTGTCTTATCATAACTATCTACCCTAATTCAAGCTGATTGGCGCGGCTCGATTAATTAATTGCCGCTTTCAAACAGAGGTTTATTATTTTAAACCTCTAGAACCACCAGGGTACCTTTTGTCACTCTGAGGCCAGCGAAATAACCTCTTCCGCAACATGCACGTACGCGTCTACTATCGTCCAGAAACAATCAATACGTATAATCGTTGTGGTCTGTGGGATTTTAATTCAATAATGTAAACCTTGCAGTTTTAGGGAAGCCTCACATATCGATTTTTTCCACAAGAAACGTCATATGTTCGTTTTGGGGGTGGGGGAGGGGGGTTTACAGCTGTGATGTTTCTCTGTAAATATCATGGAAAAGTTCGATAGTTTAATACCTTAACATTTCGGAATCAACTTTGCAGAGTATAAAAAAGAAAACAACTTGAAAGAAAACGACTATTCAAATATAAGGGCTGGTAAACTAAAAATAAAAACTCCTTATATGGATAAACATTATAAACGTTCATTTCACATGTACACGCACGCTAACAGCTGCTTAATAATTAACTTACGTATTTGTAAACATCAGTCGATAAATAAAATGGTACATTAATATGGACAAAATGGATCAAAACCTCTGAAAACAGCAGTTGTTGTTCCAATTCTTTTGGGGAATTTAGTAGCAAATATAATCCTTAAATAGCTCATCGATTTGTATCTGTTAGCGCTAAAGTCAAACGGCCGGGTCGTAGATCACGTTGAATAATGATCTGAAGTTATCATGCAACCGTCAACAATGTCTCAAAATAGTGGATGTTTGATGATTTTTTTTACAAATATACCGGGATTTCTGGACCACTTTTAAACTTAGCAAAGCGAAAAGTCCCCATTCAAGAATATGTTTTTTCTCAAAAGGTAAAATACTTAGAATACTTGATTAAATTGTTTACTTCGACGGTGTATAAATTAACAGCGTTTGACTTGCAAGACGTCAAAAACGGAAGATTTCAACGCGCTGTCGTTTATCGCGTATTCATTTGCCAAAAGAAGTATTTACGTCAATTGAAAGCTTGCTTATTAAAGAGCCAACTAGTAGAAGCATGATCGATTTGGAGCTTTATCGCATGGTGAAAATCGATTTTGTTCAGAGGGTATCGTAAATGAAGTAAGATAGTGTGCTCCAAAACTACGATTATTTCTATTCCTAAAAGTAACTCAGATTTCCTGTAAGTCATGTACACAGTCCTTTGAATAACCGAAAACAAGATTTTTAGGGTTTTAGATCGATTAGAAACGGTTGTCGTCGTGAAATTTATCTGTAAAATCAGCGCATATTTTCCCAGAAAAAATGGCGATTTAGGGTGGTCGTGTTAAAACGGCATTTTCTCAAAGTTAAAAAAGAATTTGACCTAAAAAAATATATGGTGCATTTTCCGATATAATAAGGTATATCTGGGCAAAATTTGAGCAAAATCGATTTTTCAGTCGTGGCCGCTTTATGTTTGATTTTTGTGGACATCCTCTCTTAAATCTTTACATAAACCGGAAATTTTTTGTTGTCAACTCTATTTTGTTTCTGACTTTCTGGGGTATTTGTCACAATTAGGCTTATCCGCCATTTTTGAGGTAGAGGCTTCTCCAAGCACCAACCTTTGGTCCCAAGTCTGAGAGTGCACTCACCGCGAAATGCAACTTTTCATATCCTCTGACGTGGAAAGACAGTGCCCTTAAAATGGCGGATATTGACCCACTGCATGAAGAAAGCCTAATTGACCCTGATCTATCTGGACAGTTAACGCAAAAAACGGAATACTCCCAAAGGCATAGTCCACGCGAAATATTTTGACAAGGCCCTGATTACGAGTAGAAACATGTGCCAGCGATACAAATGGAAACTGTGCAGCGGTGTTGTCCTAAAACTCGGAAAACATGTGGGAAAGTTTGTCAAAGTTTACTTTACGGAAACGAAAATAAAGTTAAAGATATCAGATTTTTGTGAGATCTTTCGAAACGAATCGAATGTAAGTATACTAAACATTTATTTATTTGATATCAAGAAGTTGGCATTACCGCCATGGCCCATATAAATACAGAACAGCATGTCAAATTTTGTATACTTTCTTCTGAATGAAATTCTTCGTTCTTCGAGCTTTAACTAAAACCAGCTAGATTATTGTCCTGAAATTGTGCACCACCACATTTCGAGAAATTGGTTAAATTAGGGCTTAATTAATATTCACTGCTATGCTGTAAAATGCCTTTGACAAAACTTCGATGATAAGATTTGTGTCGACCTTTCGACTAAAGAAATTGAGATGTGGAAATGTTTGACTTTACGGCAATTTCCGGCATGCGGGTCTGCGTCGGGGACTAAAATTTAAATGTGTGACTTCCCGCCAAATGCGGGACACTTGGCAGGTCTGTACTACTTAAGGAAAGCGCTAAGTTGTGTTTGATTATGGTGTTGACAAGTGAAACAATATGCTTGTTTTGATTTTATATAACATATATATATTAGCTATAATCTTTCAGACCGCAGCTTTCTCTTAGCAGCAATCTGCCGGCGTCGACTACGTGGTGGAAAGTTGAATACACAGTCCAACATCATAACTATTTTAAACTTAGCGCGCCAGGAACTAGGAAGTGCACTGTACTTCCGACGAAAGTTTCCCAGTGAAATGTCGACTAGGTTCCAGTTCACTTCGCGGTCAAATCCAAGATGGCGGCCAATATGAAATTTCAGGTATTAGCCCGTAGACCGACGCCATCTTCAGTTCTGCGCAGTCTGCTGGGTGGCTGGGTCTAAATGCAGTTGTTTAATCGACAAGCCACAAACGTCTGGTGTAGCCGTGCAGACAGGAGCAGTTTTTTCATCCAAATTCTTCCGGAAAGTGCAGGAAATGGCTTTTCCGAGCCTCAATGTTGCACATTTTCCCCGGGGAGCATGCACCCAGATCCCTAATTTTCACCGCTCCTATTATGCTTCTCTGTAACAGTGAAAACATGTTTTGCCTGCCGTGTTTGCACTTGGCTGAAATTCTTAACTATGATTCCCAACTTAGCTGGAACTGATTAGCCTCCCCAAAATAGAATCTGTTCCTCTGCCCACTGGTTGTAGAGTACAAGAAAGTCGGTCCCAGATCGTGCGAACCCCGAAATTTGTTGAATTTGCGCCCCCTGATCCCTGGATCAGAAGACAGAAACAAAATTGTTTATATCACTCCTTCTTTGTCCGATATTGAGAGACGATACAGTCAATCAGAACGTGAAGCTCTTGCGATTGTGTGGGCTGTTGAACGTTGATTTGTTTACCTATGCGTGAAGGTGAAGGTTGTGGACATGAAAGCATTTCAGAAAGTTAAAACAGAACTCACTAGCTATCCAGGGCCTCTTTTAAGGACGTGTAACTTGGGAGGGGGGCATATTTAGCAGGGAATCTCGAGAAGTTCCAGTCGGCAAGTCTGTATCACTGCAGCTACCAGCAAACATATGCATGTTTTAACTAATAAATATACGCCATAGGGCAGCAGATCAGACCGTAACTAGGATTCTGAGACAACCGAGTCGAGCACCAAAGGTGCGAGCTTCTAGAAGGGTCTGGGGGCGTGCCCCCCAATTTTGAATTTCTTGAAGCTCAGATAAGCTATTTCCAGCATTTTGAAGAGTTTTTCAACAACAAATTAACCTCGTAAACAGTGACACAATTACTGCAATTTCACAGTCTCCCAAATGTAATGAATGGTGTGTGATGATGCGGTAATGAAAATGTGCGTGGTATAGTATTATCATTCACCACACTTCAAATTCTACAGTACAGTATTACATGTATTGGGGTACTTGAAATCGACGCATTCGTCTTCTCAGTGTCACTGAAGAGCAAGATAGGGTGGTCTCTTTGGAATATCTTTACTTGGAAAAACTAAACATTGTCCTAAAATGACATTTCATACCTTGTTCCACGAGCAAATTATTTTAGTCATGGTTTAGGTTTCTTGCGATATGGATGTTTAAATTTCAGTTCCCAAATTCTGGCCTACCTAGTCAACGGACTCGGTTGACTCATAGCTAGTTACGGGCCTGCAGATGATGGTCAAAATCAGACATGTTAACAACTTAACATCATTTTATCACTTTGATACATAATTGCTGGTTGACCACCTACTGCAGGTAGTTCTTAGGGACCTCACTTGGGGGGGGGGGCAAAATTGCCGACTGGAGGGGCCAGTAAGAGGGCTGGGGGGACATGCCCCCCCCCCCGTCTATACCCTGTAGCTATCGTCAAGCTTGCAAAGCAAACACTGGACACTTGAATTTTGTGCCAAGCAAACGGACCTCGCGAGTAGTCACCCAGAACCATTACATATAACGGCTCTACCTCCAGAAACATGCACAGTCAACATTGATTTTTGCGGACAATTTCCAGGTGGTGCGTACCTGTTAGTGGAGTGTGAGCCAAAAAAATTAGAAGTATCAGACTTTGAACAGGATGATGTCATCAATGTGACTGGTTAGTGACAATGTTTTGTTGTCGGTAACACGCTTGTGCAGTGACTTGGATTATTAATTTTAAACTTTTCATCTTTTAATTCCTTGGACTTCGTGCAGTTGAAGTTGGGGAGTGCGCGTCAAAAAATTTAAAAGTTTCAGACTTTGAACAGGATGATGTAACTAGTAAATGGCATTTTACATGTTAGGGTTAACACGTATCTATCCTACTTCCTATATTTTTGTTGATATTTGGTTGACAGTAGTCCTTCAAAAAGGCATATACGTTGAATCACAAGTTGCAAACGTGAATGATGGCAAGGGCAAGAAATGTATCAAATCGCCTGGCGGTAGCGTACTAACACACACACACATGGTCTTCCACTTCGTCAAACCTCACAGGTAAGACAAGATTATATTAGAACTTAAAGGTTAATACTCACTCAATAGTTTAAATAATGAACACATGTGCCTAAATTAAGGTTACTCCATATGATGAAAACATTGATTTTGTTCTTTTTTACATGTTTATTTATTTTATTTATTTTATTTTATTTTACATGTTTGCCATTGCAATAGATCTATATAGAGTACTATGGTTACAAATGACTGGAATTTCCACACAGAGATAGTTCTCCAATAACGGGGTTCCAAAAAAGAACAACTAATGGTATATCTAATTATTTTGAAGTTAAAGCAAACATAACAATTAAACACAAATACAAGAAGACAAAGCAAACGTATTGACGAACAAACGAACAAAAACTAAATTTAGCAACATGTTCGAGTTGATAAGTTCATTAGTGGGCGAGTGGTGTGACATTTAATACACACAGACTTAAATGTTCTTGGATCTTCAGGGTCATAAATTTGTTGGGTTAATTCTACGTAGTATTTCATTAGATTACATTTAAATGTAGTTAGAGATGTGGTGGTATTTCTTATGAAGCCGGGAAGCGTGTTCCATACATTAGCAGCTCTGATGTAAAAGCTGTTTTGAAAAGAAACAGTTTTACTTTTGGTTACATGAAGTAGGATGCCGTTAGTTGAACTAGTATTTCTTGTTTCTCGTGTAGGGATCTTTATAGATATGTTATTGTCAGAGTTATTTATAAGGCATTTGTGAAGATACACCATATCTAAATACTCATGCCAGTAACATAGAGGGAGGATTTCGATGGTAGCCAATCGTTTCTTATACGGGATAGATGTTTTGTACGGGAGCGAAAGAATAAATTTTGATGCACGTCGCTGCAACCGTTCGATCGTTAGGATGTTGTTGACAGTTTGGGGTGCCCACACTTGACTACTGTAAGCTAGCTGGCTTCGAACGATGGTCAAGTACAGTATCTTTCGAACTCTTTTATCGTGAATGCCGGACGCTGTTCTCTTGACAAAACCCAGCATTTTGTTAGCTTTTGAGGATAAGTCCTGCACGTGCTGGTTCCACTTCATATCTTTGGTGATACTTACGCCAAGATCTTTTACACAGGTTAAAGGTTTGACTGGGATGTCAGCTAATGTGTACTGGTTGATAGTAGGTTGGAGACAACGAGTAAATTGAAGAACTCCGCACTTGGATTTATTTAAATCCATCCTCCAGTCTTGACACCAGTTCGTAATATTGTTAAGATCTGATTGTAGGATTTCTCTGTCTTGGGGGTTACGAACAGCGCGATGACATTTAGTATCATCAGCAAACATTGACACGGCAGTATCTTGGGAGACGCTATCGGGAAGATCGTTTACGTAGATAAGAAAGAGGATTGGTCCAAGAATTGATCCTTGGGGAACGCCGGATAGTACTGGGAGCGGCTGAGATGTAACACCATGTACAGTGACTCTTTGAAAACGCCCGGAAAGATAATCTTTGAACCAACGAAGAAGATTACCTTTGATGCCAAAGTTGTGGAGTTTCACAAGTAAAAGGTCATGACTTACTTTGTCAAATGCTTTCGCAAAGTCGAGGTAAATCGTGTCAACTTGGCATCTTTTTTCAAGCATTTCATGAATGTTGTGAAGAACGTGTAAAAGCTGGGAAGTGGTAGACTTGCCTCTTTGAAAACCATACTGTAACTCATTCAGTTTGCTGGAGATATGATCTATAAGTCTATTGTACATGCAACGTTCAAATACCTTCGAGACTAACGACAGAAGTGAAATTGGTCTATAATTGGAAACTTCATGAAGTGGACTTTTCTTTGGGATTGGACAAACATTAGACAACTTCCATTCTGACGGAAGTTGACCAGACGATAAACTTTTGTTGAAAAGTTCACATAATGACGGAGCTATACTAGCCGCGCAGTTTTTTAATAATACTGCTGGGATTTTGTCAGGACCAGTTGCTTTCTCTTCGTCAAGATTTTGAAGTACATAACGAACTTCTCCTTCGGTTAGAGTAAGATCTGATATGGTGGTTAGATCGGTCATGTCATCTTCAAAATCAACAGAGGAGAGTTGGCTGTGGGTATGGTCGGGAGTTTGAAACACCGAGTAGAAGTAGCGATTTAGCATATCAGCAATATCAACTGGGTTGTCAGCAGTCGAAGACGTTGAATCTTGAATGGACCATGACATTTTAGCAGGGATGTTGGAGTGATTTGAGGTGGATTTAAATAGTGACCAGAACTTTTTGCTACTGGACTTTAACAGAGATGGAAGTTTTTGAAAATACTCCGTACGTTTAGCTTGTATTAACGTTTTGGCTGATCTTCGAAGTTCGCGGAACTTTTCCCAAAGTCTAGGAGATGCGTCGCGTTTAGCCCGTTTTCTGCACTTATCTTTCTTCGAGAGAATACATGTTTATCGATTTATATCGAGGGGCTAGAGATCTTTCCATTTCCGCAAATATCTTTTGAAAATATTAAAATGCAACCGAGATATAACCGAAAATGTTATAGTCTAATTTTTTTTCCCCTGGAAAGTTTTAATTGTGATTGACAGTTTGTGGATAAGTTTGACCATATGGTTTGACCACAGGGTGCATGTTACGCAACTGTAGCGGTATTCAACATTGGGCGGCTTGTTTGTTTTAGATATAGCTATATCACTGTAATATTGTAGGTACACGCACACAACACAGTGAAATTTGCTTTCTAAGTAAAACGCCGGTTTAAATAGTGATCAATCTTATATATAACTATATAAAGTGCGCTTGCTTATCACTTTGTCATTGATGCTGAGTCAAAATGAAACCCAGCCAAAACACACTTTAAAAGTCGAACCTGATTGGCTTCAGTTTGAAGTGATGATAGGGGGCGGAGAAACATAACAGAGAACGGAAAATCTCCGCGAAATCACTTTTAGTCTTTTACAGAGAAGGAATTATCAGCCCGGTTGTCCTCACAAAACGAGTTATGGAACGGGCACGTTTTATTCATTTGCTACCAAACTTTACTACAATGTAGAACAACATCAGAGGAGCAAAACCGTGTTCGCGTTTTTCTTTGAATGCTTTAGTTTTCAAATTATAGGCTTCTGCAAATTTTTGATGAGTCAACTTATCTGCTTCATATCTCCGCAAATATAATACCTGTCAAAAAACGCGAACACGGTTTTGTTCTTTGATCATTTAACATGGGAAATGTGTCACTTTGGCTATAGAGCCTCGTTTTCGTGTATCAGACATCAGTTAAAGGCCGCGTCTCAATCACGAAAACGAGGCTCTACAGCCAAAGCGACGTACTTTCCGGAAGGGTGTATTAAAAATCATGTGCACATGCAAAATATTTAATATTGTATATGTTAACATCCTTACTTTCAAACAATTTCCTGAACTGTGTACGACTTTTTCCCCAGCTCATTAGTTATGACTAATATTAAATATCAATTACAATTTCACGGAAAAGACCTAGTCAACCAAAACTGTTGAAGTGTCCAGTGAACAAGAGTATTAATCCTAAATCAAAGAAGACAAAGGGTTCCAGTAGCTTTTGGTATAGTAGGTTCCATTGGTTGGAGTACAACGTTGAGAACGATGCAGCTTTTTGTTTCTGTTTTTCTCCAAACACATCAAATTTAGCTGCTGTTGCAGCTTTCACAACTACTGGGTACAGAAACTGGGCTAATGCTCTTGATAAGAGCAAAGGCTTTTTTAAGCATGAACAGTTAGAAATTCATACAAACAGCTATTCAAATTGGAAAAAGTGGCAAAAGTTCAAGAGGGATCTGAGAAAAACATCATTCAACGGCTATGCCCTGACACAGAAGAAATTGCTGTAGAAAACAGAGAGTACCTCAGATACCTCTGCAAGTATGTGTTATGGTTTACAACCTGGGAGCTTGCTATGCGTGGAAATGAATCTGATGACTCCAAGAACCCTGGAAACTGGATAACATTTACAAAACTGCAGCTAGAAATAAATCCTATTTTTAAGGATTTACACAATAAATTTACAAAGTCTAGGAATACAGATTACACAAGCAAGAATGTGTAAATGGTTTATTGAGGTAATAGCTGCATGAGACCATACCTAAGCTCATTTGCTCACAAATAAAGAACGTTGGAGTATTTGCAGTTCTTATTATTAGCATGACAATATTACTGGATTCTGATGGGTTGAGAGGAGTACGATTATTTCATTAATTGTACTGCAGTTCAATTTATGATTTTCTCAAAACAAAAAAAAGGCCGAAAGGTATTTGAACACGAATAATGAAATTGACCTGGAGGAGCTCAAAGCAAAAGCAATAATTGAAAATACAAAGAAAAGCACAACATTTTGATTGAAATTCTGGCAGGACTGGGCTTTGGCCAGACAATATCAAGTTGACATCCCCCACAAGAACTGGATAAAGCGCTTCAAAAGTTTTACGCGGTGGTGCGAACAAAGAAAGGCGAAGAATACGAGCCTGAGAGCTTGAAAGTCATGCAAGCTGCTTTGGACAGACATTTAAAAAACAAAAAATATCCCAGTTCAATAATTCGTAACCGAGAGTTTCACCATTCAAAGCAAATTCTCGACGGCAAGGCTCGTCAACTCCGCGAAAATGGTCGCGGGAAGAGACCAAATGCAGCTAAACCACTGATCGTGCAAGAAGAAGAAATGCTGTGGGAACATGAAAAGCTAGGCAATTCCTCTCCACAAGCACTATTTAATACAATGTAATACAATACAGTCGAAGATTTCGAGTTTGGAGAAGACGAGTCGACAACGACATCACGTACGTCAGCTTCAAGAAGAATCCTAGCAAAACTCGCCAAGGAGGTCTCCACATCACCAGAAGACAACAGCGCTGCCATAAATGTATGCCACTGGTGAGAAAAGATGTCCGGTTTCTTTGTTCAAAGAATATCTCGGCCGTCGTCCAGTATCTCTGCGAACAAATGGGCCATTTTATCTCACACCATTGTCGAAAACAACCCCAAACAACAACGTCTGATTCAAAGTGCAAAATGTTGGTGACCTTTCAATCGACAAAATAATGAAAACGATGATAGCTGACACTCCAGTAGCAAGTAGCTCCAAAAGGCTGACAAATCACTCTGCCAGAAAAACCCTCGTGAAGAAGCTGCGATTAAACAACGTCGAGCGTTCGTCCATCATGAATATGACTGGTCACAGGAACGAACAGTCGCTGAACGACTACGACGAAGGGAACGAGAATGAGCAAAGGCACATCTCCGATCTAATCGGCAGCTCCAAATCAGTCAAGCCATTGAGTAAACGAAAGCCAATGTCCATGAATATGATGAACATTCTTCCGCCAAGCGCACAGCAGCCTTCCACTTTAAGAGGCTTTGAACGACTCGGTTTCTTCCCCACCAACACATTTAACAATTGTAATGTCGTTTTCAAAGTTAGCAAAGTTGAATCCAGCTTATCTCCCAAAGTCGAAAAGCGCCGTTAAGCCGGTTTTTCACTTGCGAATTTCTTCGCGCGAAGCGAATTTGCTATTGTTTAAATTGAAAAGAATTGAATAAAAATCTAATTAGTTCCAGCTGAGAGCTCGTAAGACAAAAGATTCGCGCGAACAAATTCGCTAGTGGAAAACAAGCTTTACAAGCGAATTGTTATCGACAGTGAATCCGATTCGCAGGAATAAAATATATTTTTATATCGGTCGAATGAACGTAAGAACGTTGACAGTTAACTTTTTGTTATTGACATTTGACACTGGTTAACTACTGTATGTTTCCAAACATGCTTTTAAATATTTTCCTGCGTATTTTGTATAAAGTTTTATGACCAGACCATTTCGGTAAATTGAAAAACCGGGCTTATGCAGATCGAAAGCTTCAATAGTAATCGTCATGTTTCCACAACCCAAAACAAATAAATCGGAAAAAAGTTTTCAATATGTAGGAAATTAACAAACGGCTCAGACGCACACTTACTATACAACATCGCTTGAAAAAAACAACTCTGTATCTCTATACAGATGATACTCAAATTTTGTCTTCCTCATATGATTTTGAGACATTAGCTCAAAATTTAAATGATGATCTAAATAATATTCAGAGGTGGCTTTTAAAAAAATGAGCTTCAGCATCATCCCACCAAAACAAAAGTCATGTTTATTGCTTCATCTTATAACCTCATCAATAAAGTTGGAAATACGCCAATATTGATGAATAATACCCCAGTCCCTCGAACCAGCAAATATACATGTTTAGGGATGGACATTGACGAAGAATTAACTTGGGATGCACACATCGATTCGATATGTTCTAAAGTCAGTGCTGGAATTGGGGCTATGATACTTTGATTATTGGTCCCCTCTGTGGGATACCTGTGGAAAAACACTTCAAGATAAACTACAAAAATTCCAATCCCGTGCAGCTAGAGTGATTACTGGAGCCAGTTATGACATTTGGTCTACTGATGTTTTGGATGCTCTCGGTTGGCAAACATTTGATGTGAAACGTTCAGAAAATAAATTAATAATGATGTACAAAATATTTAATAACCACACTGCCCCTAATCTAAACGAGTGTTTCTGCAAAGGAAACACAATTCAGTCTAATTATGATTTGTGTAGTAGCGATACAAACTTATGCTTACCTAAGCCTAACAGTGAATTTTTAAAGAAAACTTTCGACATAGTGGTGCCATTCAATGGAATCATCTTTCTGAGGATTCAAAAAATTCTTAAACCCTTTTTCTTTTAAAAGAAATATACGTCAGGCATGAACACCTCCTTTGGATCGCACCAATTGTTAAGTTTTTATATAATTCCTTTTCTATTATCCTTTGCTTCCTTGTTTTTCTATAAAGTTTAACTTGTATATAGTTTAATGTGTATATTCTTTAATTTGTAAATAGTTGTTGTGTGACGCTGCTCGTGAAAATCAGCTCACGTTGATCGAGGCTAGCGTGTTTGAAGTCTTTAAAGAAAGTTTTACCATACCATACCAACTATTTTTCAATTATTAATGCAAATAGCCGAAGAGCAAAGAGTCTTTGCCCTTCTAGTTCTTGTATACTAATAGTTGTATTAATGAGATTGAAGAAAAATATGAAAAAACAGACGAAAAGAAAAAAGCCCCGAAAATTATAAAACGAAACTATATAGAATTCAATCACTTTTTTATTTAATTAATGCTTTAATTTTCGACCACATATATACTTCGACTAAATTAACCCAATTTAAATTTTTGCTGGTTCTTTTATTATTATTATTATTATTTAAAAATATTTAACAACGGTAGCCCTATCAGTTATAGTTAAAAACTGTTTTCCAAGGGGCCGTTCACACAAGGGGCCGTTCACACGTATATACATATACATATATATACACGTATATATATATATATATACATACAAAAGAAACTTAAACTACAAACTACTACTAATTACTATAATAACTATTTACAAGAATATTTTAATGATTTCAAAATATCATATGGAAACTATAATCTGCGCCCCCAACAATAGCTCTAAACCTCTTTATGCCCATTGACTTACTCTTAAGATCATTTGTCAGATCATTCCAACATTTTGCACCAGAGTAACTAATGCTTTTTTTCAAGAAATTTGTATTTGGCTTATCTAACGTAAAGTTGTTTAAATTGCTTCTTAAAGAGTAATTTTGATTATCACAAATATTAAACAAATTTCCTATTGAATCAGGTGCGATCCCATTTTTGACCTTGTACATTAATAATGCTTTTTTGTTACGTCTGCGCTCTTCCAACGTTTCCCAGTTGAGTTGGCGCAGTAACTCCTTTGAAGGAGCATCGTAACTGCTCCCTGTTAAAATTCTAGCCGCTCTATTTTGCATTTTTTGTAGTTTCTGTATGTTATAGTTAGCTGCATTATCCCATCCCATACCATGCTACAGTA